AACGGCATACGATGCAATCAAGGATGCACCGCGGCACCGGATCCACGTGTTTCTGGCCACCTCGGACATCCATCTGGAGCACAAGCTGAAAATCACGCGCGATCAATGCAAGCAGCAGATTGCAAAGATGGTTGGGTTCGCAAAGAGCCTGTGCCAAGACATCGAGTTCAGCCCTGAGGACGCCGGCCGGTCGGACCGCGACTTCTTGTGCGAGGCGCTTGCAGTGGCCATCAAGGCAGGCGCCACCACACTCAATATCCCAGACACCGTCGGGTACAACAGCCCTGCGCAATACGGGTCGCTTATCAAGCACCTGTGCGACAACACCGAGGGCGCCGACTCGGTCACGTTTTCGACGCACTGCCACAACGATCTGGGGCTGGCCACAGCCAACACGCTTGCCGGCATCACCAACGGCGCACGCCAAGTCGAGGTGACTATCAACGGAATCGGCGAGCGCGCAGGAAACACAGCGCTCGAGGAGGTCGTGATGAATGTGCACACGCATCCCGGCGCATACCCGGTGCACCACACCATTAATACCAGGCTGTTCTTCGCCACATCGCGCATGGTCGAGGATCTGTCTGGCATGGCAGTCCAGTCCAACAAGGCCATTGTCGGACGCAATGCCTTTCTGCACGAGAGCGGCATCCACCAGGACGGCGTGCTCAAGAACAAACAGACCTACGAGATCATCCGTCCCGAGGATGTCGGTGTCACTTCGGGCAACTTGGCGCTGGGCAAGCACTCGGGCCGCCATGCATTCAAGACCAAGCTTGAGGCGCTTGGGTACGCAGGCGGTGCACTCTCCGATGCGCAGTTCCAGACAGCGTTTGCCAAATTCAAGCAGTTGGCCGACGTCAAGAAGACTGGCGTCACCGACGGAGATCTGCACGCGTTGGTTTCCGATTCGCGCAACAGCTTGTCAGCAACGATTTCAACTGAACTCCCAACCGAGGAGATAGCCATGCCCGAGCCGTCGGTTCAGCGGTTCACGCTCAAGCACATGCAGGTTTTCACAGGAATCGGTGTCACGCCGACTGCCACTGTGACGCTCCACGATGTAGTCAAGGGCGAGGACCTTACAGACGCAGCGCTGGCCAGGAACGGCCCAATCGAGGCTATTTTCTCCGTCATCCAGCGCATTACTGGGCTCTCGATCGATCTGCTCAACTTCAACGTCTCCGCCACCAGCGAAGGCCAAGAGACGCTTGGCAAGGTCGCTGTCCGCATTGCACGCTCAACCACTGATGCTGAGACGAATTCACCTGGCTTGGCACCTAACGGTCCGGTGCCCAAGTTTGCAGGTCTCGCCACAAATGTCGACATCATCACAGCCTCTGCCAACGCGTACGTCGCGGCTCTCAATCGTCTGGTCAGCCACGACGAGCGCAACACGCGTGCCAGCCACAAGGACCGCAACGTGGACATTTAACTTTTTTTTATATATATAACCTATTTTCACAAGCTTTTTTTTTTTAAAAAAAAAAAAAGCTTCTTAGTACGATCCGTATAGCTCTCGCATCTGTGCGCCAATGACATCCAGCTCTCGAACTACCTCCCATCCAAGCATCACTTGCGTGTAGTAGAACACGTACCGCACACGCATAGCTGCTGCCTGTGGATCGTGCGGATACACAGGAGTATCCTCTGCAGGGTCCAGGACGTCTTGCATCGCACGAGCCACGCGGTGCTGCGCTGACTGTGTTGGTGGAAGCACCGCTGGCAACGGTGTTTTCAGCACAAGCGCTGATGCCAGCACATACATCGACAGAGTCACCAGCGAGTCCCTGTGTTCGCGCTCCAGGGCTGCCAGCAACGCAACTACCGCCAACGAAGATAACGATGACGATGACGATGACGGCATACCCATTTCTTGCTGCTGCTGCTGCTGGGATGCCAGTTCAATAGGAAGATCCATCATGTTTCGCAGTGAAGAAGAATCATGCACCGGCAGTACGACCCAGCGCGCAGCCACCATTGCATCCAGCAGTCGCTGGCACGCATTGGCTATTCGCTCATACGTGCGTGCGGGATACGGACCCTTGAGCCGTGGCTCGCTGGCAGTCAACGCAAGCAGTGCACGAATCTCAACCAGCGAACCCTGCAGCTCCAGCTCACTCTCCAAGTAGTCGCGAACAGTATCCAGAGCATCGTCCCACTCGTCATCGCTATCGTCTTCCGACATCCTATTGGTGGCCCCTGATGACATTGCAGAACTCTGCCAAAGATCGCTCCACAGTCGGTCATAGAGCAACGACGCGCGAAGCAGCCACCAGCTCAGCGCCTTGCGCACGCGCACACGCGCCTCGTAGGGCCACACATACATGGTTACAAGCATCCCAGCCAACACGCCAAGCGCAACAGATGCTGTGCGGCGCACTGCCAGAGTACCGATGCTTTCTAGGCGATCCTCGCGAGCCACCCACTTGTTGATCAGAACCACGCCAAACGTAATCAGCGCAAACTGGCCTATTTTCGGATACTTTCCATGAAGCATTATGTGGAAGCACGGAATCGAGAACAGAACAAGTAGCATGTACATGAGCACAGGCACTTTGTTGGCTATCTCGTATACCAGAAAGGCTGCCAGTCCGCCTGCGCACGTGCCCAGCACGCGGTACACGCTAACCACAAGCGATCCGCCAACTGTTGGCACCATGATGGCTGCTGCAGAGATGACCATCCAGTCCATCCGCTCCTGGTGGAACGCCAAGTACATATCCATGCTCCAGTAGCAAGGCAACGATAGCAAGGTAATGAGGAGCGCGTACTTTGTTGCAAACTTGACGTTGATTTGGCGGGCCCATGTTAGAATGCGCCAGATCGTGTGCGCCAGACGCTGGGATCGCGTGACGGGCCGCGGCGTGTGCAGGGACCGTGGGTCAGCAAACTGCGCAAACTCGTATCGTGTCTCCAAGTCGCTTGTGGCGCCAGTGTCCCAAAGAGCACGAAAATGGCAGCACGCCCAAAGAGCAAAGGACCGGATCCCCGGAATAATGCTGGCCCTTGCCAAGCGCAGTGGCGGCAAGCACACGGATTCGACATACGGGAGAACGTCAAAGAGCTCGTCGGCAAACTCGCGCAGACTGTATACGAAAAAGTGCACAACGAACAGCTGCTCCTCCGTTGATTTCTGGTTGCTGTCGTTCGTTCTACTGGCTACCGGCGTGTCCAAGTCACAGACGGCTTCGCTGTAGTTGGTGTGGAATTCGTGGATCGCACTAGTCATCTCCAGCCGCAGACGCTCGATCTTGCGTGCCACTGTGGCAGCATCCTCTCCCTCCTCCTCTTCCTCGGCAAACGCCACGCCAACCATATCGTGGATCGCCATCAGTGTTTTGTCGCACATGCGCGAGAGCTGCAGCACTGGAATATGGATATGGCTGACAATACTTGCGTATGAAGATCCAGGATCGTTGTTGCGGTCGGTGGTTTGCTGGAGCTCCAGTCCAGAACCCATGCTGTTGAGTCGCAGCCCGAGCTCCTCCAGCCGACCAACCAGGAGCCCGACTTGGCTGCGCCGCGCCCATACGCGTCGGTCAGTGGGATCCAAAGATATAGCTGTCAGCTGCGTTTTCAGCGCTTGCAGCTGCTCCCAATGCGCATGGATCGCCGATTTGAGCTCGGCCGGCTTTGCTCCATCGCGGCGTTTGCGCCTCGACGCATTCGACGCATTCGGTACGTCCCCGTAGTAAGACGTGGTTTGTTCGTTGCCAACGTTGATGATGGGCGCCAGCAGCTGCGGCAAGATATCGCGGAACGAGTCAAGCGCAGTGCCCAGCTTCTTACGCAGCAGGGCACGTGACGTGGTGGGCCGCACAAACCACCCAACTGTTAGACTGATTGCCATGCCGGTGAGCACAGCTACCAGAATGTGCTCAGCCTTTTTCCCTACGCTTTCGGCCAAACTATCTTCATCGCCATCCGGTCCAGGCCAAGGCACACGTCCGCCACCGCCGTGGCCGCTGTCTTGTGCGTGTATATTGGGACAGCTACCGTTAGCTGCCGCCTTATAGTTGACGATTGGTGCCTCCCGTAACATTACCAAATAAAGCACAATGTTGGCAATCGTCGTGCCTGTAGCCACCGATATGCGGTTACTGTTTGCCTTGAAAAAGGCCAAACACCAGCTGTATCCAAAGACAAACACCACGAGACAAGCGACTTTGCTCTGGGTCGCAAGCGGTAAAGCTTCCGGCAGCCCCTCATTGCCAGAAACACCGCTCGAAGACGAAGCATATGTACAATGCAGGTATTCTGCAGTATACAGAGCCATATATGCAACACAGCTAGTCACGCATACCCAAATGACGCTTACAAGCCCACCTTCCGCCAATGCACTACGTGTACGTGCGGCATGAAGCCAAATGGTTGCGTTGGTGACTAGATGCGGCGACATGTAGTCCGGGTCGCCTAGCCAGTCACGTAGGAACGGAATGAACGGGAACAGAGCAGCTATTGCGTAAGCCAGCACCGCCTTGAATACACTTGTCTGTTGTGATTCTTCAAGCGGTACAAGCCATCCAATGATAGTTTTCAGCTTCAACGGATGCGTTTCCTGAGGCGTTCTCCCAAGCAACGGCAGCGTTTCATCGCTACTTGCCCCTCGCCCTGATGATGCGCCTTGGTTGTCTCTGGATGCTCCTCCTCCACCCATCGTTATTGTGTTTCGTTTCAACGGCCATGCCATAGGCGACTGTGGTGGACGCTGTTGCTGTGCACCAGGCACTGGTGATACGGCTGCTGTTGCGTGGAGCTGTTGGAAAAACTGACTTGATCTGTTGCCCGCTCCGCTGTATGTAAAGCTCCGCAGAGCAATTGACGGCGGTCTCTCATCGGTCATCTTTAAAATAAAATAAAAAAGTGAAATACAAAAGTATTATTACTTTTTAAAATGGAAAAATTAAAAATACAAAAAACTGAAAAGATAAAGTGCACTGACCGCACAAGGAGGGAAAAGGAAGGTAATTGTATCAGAATACGAAAAACAGAAAAAATGATTCCGGCGAGGATCGAACTCGCGACCTTTGCCGTGTAAAGGCAACGTAATAACCACTATACAACAGAACCAAATCCGACGAAAAATGCCACTTCAAAAACTGAAAAATTAATTAAACTAGTGTTTTCAACAGTTTTATCTTCCACAAAGAAAGGAACGCCTTTAAGCCTAATCGAGTGTAGAGTAAGGTCGGATGATAATTATGATAATAGGGAATGTCAAATGGAAAAAGGAGGAAAAGAGAGAGAAAGAGGAATATTAGTCCGTGTAGATGTGTGTTCCAGGCACAGCACACAGAATAGCCAAGCTGATGGCAGTCATGGCCATAGCACCAATGAACCAACGGATGCTGCGCGCACGTACCATACGCGTAGCCGTTGGGTCCACCGAAACACGTGTGGAGAACCATGCGCGATGCCAGTCGCCAACCGACATTTTCTTCAGAGAAGCAGCTGGCTGTGGTGCGGTTTTGGTTGGCTGGCCAATAAAGTCCTTCATCGTTGGAGACTGATACCTGCGCATCGCAGCCAAAAGAAGATCGCATCCGCCAAAGCCGACAGACATATTCCACCAGCCAAAGAACTGAGGGATAACGCTCCACGCACGCTGTGCTTTGGGCTCGTGGTCCAAAAGGATGAGCGCCAGCGGAAGCGCAAAGCCAAACCACAGCAAAAGGAAGGCAAAGAGAACACGTAGGATGCAGTGGTCGCGGGTGACGTTGCGGGATACAGCGTCGGCAATGAATATGGGAAAGTAGTAAGTGTCCAGCACATCGTACGCATAGAGAAGAGCTTCGGAGAAAAGGGACGCATCGAGGGCCGCGCCATCGTGAAGCAGCCGCTGCTCGATTTCAGTCAGGATCTCTGGAGGCCACGGCATGTGGTAGTACAGGTGGTGGCGGGACGAGGCGCTGAAGGCGTTGATCATTCCACGCGTGCCCAGCGCACTGCTTCCGCCAGCTCCGCTGCCCGAGTTCTGGCTCATATGCAAATAATTGCGGCCGCTGGAGCCGGCGCTGCCATCAGCGTTGATTGGCGTGTTCAGGTGCTCGCGAGACATGTTGAGCGACTCGGTCGACCCAAGCTGGCCTTGCTTGTTGTCATATTTTCTGTTGGCTCCCGAGTCGTTGCGGTCGCGGCCCAGTTGGCCGCCCGACCGCGAGTGCGATGCGCTGGGGCTGATATAAACGCTGTCGGTTGCTGCCACGCCGTATCCTTGGTGGTACGGGTCGTCAAAGACGGGTCTGTGCGCCGTGCGGTTGACGTAGGCACCAGTCTTCTGCGTCAGCATGCGCTTAAGCGACCCCATTTTGCCGCCGTTGGCTGTTGTCAGGCCACGCGCACGTGCAGATGCCGCTGCTGCTGCCTCTGACGGCGTCGCGTATGTCTGGCCCACATTGCCAGCCCCGCCGCTGGCCGACCAAGTGCCTGAAGCGCCCGCCGATGCATGCTGCAGCAAGTTGGGGTCGAGTGCTGCGCGGAAGTAGCGCAAGAAAATGGTCTCCGCCGCAGTCTGGATCTGCACAGCCATATGTGAGCTCTGGCGCCGGCTCCGCCGAAACCCATCCCCCTGGGAAGAAGCGTTGGCAGCCGACCTATTGACAGCATCATCCTCAGGCACAAGCACTTGCTCCGCAGGGTTAGGGTCTTTCCTATTTCCACGGGACAGCGATTTCATTGTTTCGCTACGCGCCGCCGCGCGTCTGAAGGGGTCGTTCTGCTTCTCGTTCATTTCAGTCAACTGGGACTGGCGGTTAGAGTTCCGATGATGCGAGGAATCGGGAGGCAGCAAATGGCTGTCAAGGGACGCATACTGGCTACGCGCCTTTGCATGCCGTAGGTCGCTTTCGTACGCAAGACACATTTTCTCATGCGTCCTTGCAGCCATGTAAAACTCAAGCCATCTGCGAGCCTGCGGTTGGCGGACAGAACAGTGGACTGCAAAGTCGCGCAACGCAAGGGGCGCACGTGTACGGCGGGTCAAAACTTGGTCCAGCGAGGGGAGCCCGCCGGTCCGCAGATTATGGTCTTGCATGTACGCCCAATCGATAGCACCACCGTCGGTATCAGCTGTTTTATCGCTCAGCATCGGAGCCCCCGTATGCGACACCGATAAAAGAACATTAGATGGTCTGCTAACGCGCATAGAGTCCGACTTGACGCCCCATGCAGCAGTACGCTCTTCGGCAAAATGCAGCTGACTAGACGTGCCCGATGATATAGAGTCATGAGCTCCGCCCATAGCTGCAGGCATCCGTGGAGGCGGTTCCAGCTCTACCACATCAAGCTCCATTGCTCCTACCGCCATCTGCGTATACGGCATCAGTCTCTCTTCGCGCTCCAGTTCGTCAATGTTTAGTGGGTCGCGTACGCCTTGCGGAAGCACCGTTGACATACGTTGCCATGTCGGAGTTCCAAAGAAAGTTGCCAACGGCGCCCTGTCATCTGATGACCTTGCTGACATTGTACGGAACCCGTCGCTTTCAGACCGTCCACGCGTAGGTAGTACGTGCAGGTCACCCATGCTATGGCTTAGTGGCCGCTCATTGGGAAGCGGCACATTGTATTCGTTAGCGTACTTCATATGGAATAAAAAAAATATCAAGAAAGAATATTTTAAATAAAATAAAATAAAACTAGAGAGAAAAAAACCTGTTGTTTCTTTTCTCTTGTTTCCATGCTTTGCTTTCTCTTTCTCGCTGAAATTCTTGCATGCAGGATTCTTACGTATTTTCCTTTGACAATCTGAAATAACATGCTTTGTTTAGGTCTTTTAATTGACCCATGGTCTGGCGAATCAGAAGGCTTCTAGAAACAACAACACACACAAAAACAACTAGAAAAGAGGGGAAATGAGGGACTCCAGCCTCTTTTCTCTTCCCCCCTCCCCACCCCCAAAATAGCACATATGATCAAATCTCTTGATCCAGAGAAGTGGGGCACGTGATCACAGCGCACACGCAAACAAACCACGTTTCACTGGGGGAAAAAAAATACGTTTTTTCTTCTCTTCAACAATTCTCATTTATTTTATATCTGTATCATAATAAACATCACAATGAAGCTCTTCTTCGGGACCACAAAACCAAAGGCCACGGCCAAGGATGCAATCATAACACTACGGGAGAACATCTCGATGCTCGAGAAGAGAGAAACGCATTTGCAATCCAAGATTGATTCCGAGTATGCCAAAGCACGAGAGAATGCAACAAAGAACAAGAAAGCCGCGTTGGCTGCACTTAAACGTAAAAGACTGCTAGAGGCGCAAATAGAAAAGATAAGCGGATCGAGGATGACACTCGAAGCTCAAGCGATGACGATTGAAGCGGCAAACGTGAATTTGGAAACTATGAAGGCAATGCAAAGGGGCGCTGATGCAATGAAGGGTATTCATAAGGACCTTAATGTCGATAAAGTCGATGATACGATGGATGAGATACGCGAGCAAATGGACTTGGCCAACGAGATTTCGGACGCTATTTCGCAGCCGCAGATGTTTGGTGCCGATTTGGATGAAGACGAGCTTAATGCGGAGCTTGAGGAGCTCGAGCAGGAAGAGCTGGACAAGAAACTGTTGGACGCGGAGCATGCGCCTGTGGTGCTACCAAACGCTCCTGTGACTTCAGTTAGACAGCAGCATGAGCAACAACAGCATCAGCCGGCGGCAGCTGTTTCTGACGAGGATGATGAGCTGGCCGAGTTGCGCGAAAGCATGGGTATGGCCGCCTAAGGCTCCGTTTTTCCTTATTCTAGAACACCATTTTTCTTTTCCCATACCAGACACTTTTAAAAATAGTTTTGATAACATTGAAAGAATACAAACAAAAGAGCTTTTCTCTGGCTACAGCCACAGCTACTCCTCCTCCTCCTCTCCCTCCCCTCCTACAAGTCTGTAGTGGCGGTGCTGCCGTCGTCGGCGCTGAGGCCGTTGCGGCGCGGGTTTGACTGCAACGAAAGGGGTGGTGACGTCTTGCTGCGGTGCAGCATAGCCATGGGGATAACCGAATGGCGCTGAGCGGAAGAGCTGCTAGGGCTTGGGATAGAAGCAGCGGTAGGCGAGGTTACAATAGGCAAAGTGCCACCAGTTTCTTGCTGCATGGACTGGCGTGGGCTGGTGATAGCACCACGGATAGCAGACCAGTTGGACGCAAAGCTCGAGATGCTAAACCGATTGCTACTACTATTGCTTTGCTTTGCTGCATCGTCCACAAGCGCTGGTGGCGATTGAGTGTTGTGCGGGGTAGTTTCAGCAATGAATTTGCGCAAGTTGTCCAGCTGACGCACAAGCAGAGCCCGTTCTTCGTCAGCTTCCGCCAGCTCCATCCGTGTCTTGATGAGAGCGTTCTCGGATTGGCGTGCTTGCGCCTGAGAATCGGCTGCCGTTTCCTGCGCACGCACACGGTCTGCGTCGACTTTGCGCACCTCCATGCGTAGACGCTCGTTCTCGGCTGCCACTTCTGCGCGCACAGTCTTTACCATGACCAGCTCAGTACGCAGCACCTCCAGCTCCGCTTGCAGCGATGCCAAGGCATCCCGGTGCGTATCGCTGGTGACGCGCGCGTCATGGAGCTGCTGCTGCAGGGGCTCCAATACCTCGTGGCGCCAAGCGCTGTCGCCCAGGAGATCCGGCGTGGCTGCTGTCGCGCTAATCGACTTGCGATGGTACATCTGGCCACCAGAATCGGCCCCACTGCGCTTGCATTCGCAAGACAAGGAGGACTGTGGTGTGGTATGACCGCTATTACCAGTAGCACCGCGATCATTTGTCTGGTGTTGTTGTGCAAGCAGCCCGCCAAACCCTCCCAGAACTGTTGCCGGCACAGTTGCGACGTCGTCGTCTTCGTCTGGTGTTTGCAGAGATCGGATCATTTGGTCGCGCAGCTCCAATGACCGCTGGTGCTGTACATCAGTCATCTCGAGAACGCGCGGACTAATACGTCCGCCATTGCGTGCGCGCGCATACGCTGTTGCAATAACAGTATCGTCGCTGTCAAGGTCATTAACGCTGTCGTCCGAGTTTGTTGCAACGGATGACGACACCGACACTGCTCCTTTGGATAGAAGAGGCGCCT